TTCGTGCAGCGAGCACATGTGGTCGGCGGCCGGCGTTGGCGGTGGCGTCTCGTCGGTGCCCGGCGGGTATTTCCGTTTTCCGGTGAAGCGAACCGGTTGCCGATGCCGGTTGCAGTGTCCGACCCCATGTCAACGCGCCGCGACCACGGCGCGCGACACGTCCCGTCGGAGTAAAGAACTCGGTAATCGCACTCTCTCGGATTTCACTCGGCACCCAATTAATACCGTACTATTAATACCGCACCCTGCCTCTCCGCCCACCACCTTCCACCCTGCCCGAGCCTACAAACTCTCGGATTAAGTAGCGTGATGCGGCGAGGGATCACTGTTGCCGGGTGGTGGAGAGCCTCCACCCTGCACCCAAGGGTTAGGAAACGGTGGTGAGGACTTGTAAAGGTGAGGTGGATGGGGCTCAGCCCCCAACTTTTCTGGATAACGGTAGAGTAAATTTTTTCCAACGAAGAGTTTTAGAGTAAGTGGAATAAGAGATGGTGATGATTAGGATCAGAAATAAGAAGATTAGGACGTGGGGGTAAACGAAGGAATAAAAAGGTATGAAGAAGAGAAGACAAAGATGGAGGGGATGACATAGTCCGAGAGGGAGAAGAGAGGAAGGAAGATAAAGAAATGGAGAGTGGGAAGGAAAAGGTGACTTAGAGGAAAGCGGAAATAGAAATGTCTACGAATTTTAGAATGTCATTGAACCTTGGAGTCCGAGTAAAAAGAAAATTAATATCACATGTTAGTGCACGTAGGTGAATGGTGCCGCACAAGACAACGATTGAAATTTAAAAAACCAAAAAATGAAAGAAAATTAAACTCACTTGCACTACTACACTTTTTTATTTACATATACTGGAGGTGAGTTGCATTTTCATGCATTTTTTTTTTTTTTGGTTTTTTAAAATTTTGATAATTTAAGAGCTATTTACAGTTATTTAAGGATATCACATGTCAAACATGACAGTACTCCCATTTCATGGTATGTATCTCATTAAAACAAGTTTGGAGTTATGAATATGGTATGCATATTGGTTGTGTATCTTCCTCAATTCATGCGACCGCATACCTCTCGGTTCTTGGGACCGAACTTTGGCTCGTAACCAAAGTTTGGTTAATGTAACCTAAGTTTGGCTCATGTAACAGAAACTTTGGTTCGTGAAACCGAAGTCTCGCGCCAAAACGAGCTGAAGAGAAAATCTAGTCTCATGAACCGTACTGAAGAAATATCCCGGTAGCATAAATGGAGAGTACCAGTGGAGAGGCGGGAATGATCGATTATCGATTATTCCTCATTTGAAGCTATTCTAAAGAATCGATTATTAAGATGTTCGTTGTCTATCGATCCTTCTTCATAGGTTTAAATGTCAGATCGATCGATAAATCGCAAAGTACGCCACGCCACTGGAGATTACGTTAACATGAACCAATTATTGTACCCGATAATGAATTCCACCCCCTTAATTAATGCCCAAATAGGCAACAGCGCTAGGGTAGGCGTGAGCAATAAGGTGTTTTGTACTTGATCTTATCTTCTCTGAGGAACATTCTCAACTTACGTTGACAACATTTTTGATGTTCTGATAAAAAAAAAAGCAACGCCCCGACCCCCAAGAACCCATCTATTTTAAGTCGCGGTGGTTAAGCTGGATTGAAGAGAGATTATGGGGGCGGGGGAGACATGGCACGTGAGTCATCGAGATATACCCCTTTGGGCGGTGCTTCAGAAGAGATTGGAGCACTGGATTGTGACTTTTTTAGTCTTTAAACTTTTAATCTCTTCTCCCGAAGAGAAGGATGCGTTATCGTTCGGTTTTTTTTTTATTTATTCCTCAATTTCCGGTTTGTTTTTCTCGCTACAAATGTAGTTAGGATTTCCGTTTTTTACCGGTCAGAATTTTTAGGGACTGGCTTTTACGCGCTTTCTAGACTTCGGACAACGTAGAGAATATTTGGACTGCGTTGAGCAAGAAGGAACCAAGCCACAACAGCTACTGACAAATTTAATTGGGTACTTCTAAATTTTTACATTACAACGGTTGTGCGAATTTTTTGCAAATGTCAATAAATTCCTTGCAAGGTGTGAAGCAAATGTCTTACTTAATGTCTTGATGTCTAATGTTATGAACTTTTGGAGGATTCCGCACAAACGTTCTCTTGGGATAAATTAAAGTGCTCGGTTAAAATTGGCAATAGCTGATGTAGTTTGGTTCCTTTCTGCTAAACGCGGTCCATTTGCACATGTGTGCATGCACCGCAGTATGCTGTCGTCTTAAAGAAAAACGACGTATGGGTATTCAGGCGTTGCCACATATCCTTCAATAACACAAAAATTCCTTGGGAAGATTCTGAATATTTTTTCTTCAATTTTTCAGACTGTTTTGTTCTCAATTCAATCTAAATTATCTGAAAATTCCAAGGGAAAGTATGCATAACTTTTTTTCAAATATGCCTGTTTTATTCCGGGAAATTTGGCAACTCTCGAATGTTCATACGGCGTTCTTCCTCAGCACGGCGAAATGGAGAATCCCAAGAGTAACGTCATGAGATCAACTCCACACGCATCCGTGACCATCCCGCCGAGGCCGGAGGGGTGGAACCAGTGGTAAAGTGTGAATGATCGATTGTTGATAATTCCCCATTTGAAGCTATGAGAAAAAATCGAATATTATGGTGTCCGTTGCGAACACCCATTTATCGATCCTTCTCCATAGGTTTAAATGACAGATCAATCGATATATCGCAAAGCACGCCAGGCCACTGGTTGGAACCGCCGAAAAAGCGATTCCTGAAAATTCATGAGTCGGAACCAGCTCGTTTACGAGCGGAGCCGAGACCGACACAAAGCCGTCAGTAATTAAACAATAGACAACTCAGACGCCACCAGCAACAGTAGTACTCCCGTGTGAGGCAAGAACGTTGTATGAACGTTCAGGCGCTGCCAAATTTCTTTTCAAAAAATACGAATTTCCAAACAAACTTTCCAAATCGGACATTTCTTGAAGTTCGACGTTCAAATATTTTATCACCAGCCAAGTTGGTCTAGTGGTTGGCGCGTCTCACTCTGTGTCAAGGTTCCAGGTTTAAATCTCGGGGGTGATGACAAATTTTGACGAAGTTGATAAGTGGACTGTTACACCAATTGGAGCACATTTCGTCGCTCCTCTGACGTAAGGGCGTATCTCGATTTCTGGATGAGCCCCAGAAAGCATGGATTTATATGTGGAACAGGGCTCACATGAAAAATGAGATACGCCCTTACGTCAGAGGAGCGACGATTTTGCAATTAGGAACTATAAATTACAGCTCAGTTTAAAAACAACGCAAGTAAAATTAGTTACCCTATGCATATAAAAGTTTTTTTCGGATGAGCCAGAAATTATAGTTCTTAATTGCGATATGAAGTCCAATTCTACTCGGCCTTAATCCCTGAAAATTTGAAAAGTCTAGAGCATGGATGTGTTTAAATACCCTTTGGTATTCTCAACGAACTACACCTCTAGAATGGCTGACCAGTGTTAGAGACCCGGAACGTTTTGAAGTTGATATAGGTTAGGTTTACTTGGGCTCACACAGCAGGCTGCCATCTAAACCCATGTCAGACGCTGCCCACATTTTGCCGAATATTGTTGAATAAAGTGATAGCAATGAAAAGATTGCTGAACAATCGCACCTCAAAAGGTTTTCTTTACTCAAAAAATAGGAACTTTGAAAGAAAACCTCAAAAAAATGAAAGTTTACAAAGGTTGAAATTTTCACATGTAATCCTTATGGGCAAGACGCAGCAGAAATGGAGATTGAGGTTAGCTATACTTGGGCTCCCACCCCCCTCCTGCCTTCAAAAACCGGCCCATGCGCGTTACGCAGGTTTGCTATCTCGCGGCCATTCTAGAGGTGTAGTTCGTTGGGTATTCTTTGATAGCTTTAAATTCTTGATGAAAAAAAAAAAAAAAACAAATTGTCTGTGAAAATTTGGCATCAACGCCTCAAGGCGTTGACAAGGAGATGACACCGTGCTATAAGGAAAAACGCAGTATGGACATTCTGATGTTCACTAATGCAAAAATCACATTTCTAATGCAAAATTCATTCTCAGAAAAAAACGTATCTTTTTAGAAAAGTTATGAATGTTTTTCATTGAAGTTTTCAAATACTTCAGATGAAAGTGTGGACAAAATTCTCTGAAACATCGGAGAAAAAATATCCTCAAATTTTCCCAAAAATTCCTGATTTGTTAAAGGAAGTTTAGCAACATCTGTAGTCTCATACGGCGTCCTTCCGTGGCAAAGGAGACAATCCATGCTCTGTAGCGCTAAGGAAGAACGCTGTATGAGCCTTCAGACGTTGCCAAATTTCCCTTGACTTTTCTTCTTCCATTTCTTCACTGGAAAAAAAGTCGCTTGGATCTAGAGTCCACACTCTTAATAACATTGACAAGAGAAAATACTCTTGATTCAATCCGACTTTTTCTTGGATCGAAGATCCGAGCCTCCGAAGATTAAGGCGGATTTCTTTTTGATTCCAGCAAAAAGTCCGATTGAGTCAAGAGTATTTTTTCTTGTCAATGTTTTTAAGAGTCTGGACTCTAGATCTGCCGTGCTAAGGAAGAACGCCGTATGAACATTCGAGAGTTGCCAAATTTCCTTTGATATAACGTGTATTTTTTACGAAATTTAAGCATATATTTCCTTGAAATTTTCAGATATTTTACATTAAATTGCGCACAAAATAGTCTGAAAATTTTAGGGGAAATATTTACAATTTTCCCAGTAAATTCGGGTTTTAGCGAAGGAAATTTGGCAACGCCTGAAGGTTCATACGGCGTTTTTCCTTAGCACGGCAGTCTAGAGCCAAGCTACTTTTTCCCCAGTATCCCTCAAAAAGAAATATTTCCTAAGAGGAAATTTGGCAACATTCGAATGTTCACACGATGTTTTCCTCAGCACAGCAGCCCTGACGTAATAACGGTAAAGCGTGAAGCGTGGCGCATGCGTACTCACGTGTTTTCTGGAAGTCCAGGGCGTCATCGGCGCGTACGAGGGCCAGAACGAGACAGGAGCACCACCAGCAGAGGGCCAACATATTAGTCATTCCCGAAGGGTCGAAGGGACCCAGACCAGGTGGCGGCGCGGCGCGCTGGGCGGTCCCCCTGGGCCTCTAGCCGCCCGCCCGGCCCACCCCCTCTCCGCACGCACACATAAAGCTCGGCTATTACCGACTCGCGGTATGCACTACTCCTTGTTTTCGGCCCGATAAATCAACTCTTTCTCACTGCACTTAATCGGGAACCACTTCGGTCTCACCTGAGGCTTCCCGCACACACACAGGCTCGTATTCCGCTTGATTTACGCACACGCGTGTAAGCTCATTCGGATGAGTATCACAAGTCCGTACTCACGAAGTACGTGAACCGGACGATTTACGCACTCACGGAGCACGTGTACCAGACGATTTGCGCACTCAGAAAGTACGTGTGCCAGACGATTTACGCACACACGAAGTACGTGTACCAGACGATTTACGCACTTACGAAGCACGTGTGCCAGATAATTCACGCACTCCCATAGAAATGAGTATCACAAGATACTATCCGTAATCAAGAAAGCTCTTCTGAGTACGTATTCGGGGCGATTTACGCACTCACACATGAGCTTATTCGAAGGGGTACTCCAAAACGGTAAGTTGCCTCGTGAAATGTTGAATGGACCTTTGAAAGAGACCTCTCCTCAATGGAAAATAACAACGTGATCTGTGTTATACTCATCGTGATCTTTGAAATTCCGTCTGAGGTACAGACTTTTCCCGAGGTTCAAAGATAGAAACCGCAGCCAGTTAGCAAAACGTTCACACGCACACAAATAAATCCGAAGAGGTATCCGAGACGATTCACGCACACACACTTAGGAGATCCGGTCTAAGTAGGGTAGCACAGGTGCAATCGCACACGATGTCGCTATCGTTTAGGACGCTCCGTTTGATGAGCTTTTGAACTTATCCGCGGAGCTTTCTGAGCTCGGCGCGTGGCCTCGATGACCGCAGAATCAAGATTGCGGGAGGTGGGATTAAGCTTTGCTGAACCACTTCGGAACTTTCACGATCGGATGTGGTTGGAAGTTTTTTTGCTTCTTCGAAGCTCGAGTTACACACACGTGGATTTCTTTGATCGTGCACGTCTTCTTCCTTTAAAGATGTTAACGCACTTTGGTGACGTCATGATTTGGTCGTGAACTATGAAGAATCATATGATTTAGTCCTGGTATAGGTGCTTGCTAAGGTGAAGTGGCCCTTGCTGCCGTGATAGCAAAAATGGACTGCATTTTGCTATTTGGAACTATAAATTCTGGCTCTTCTGGAAAAAAAACTTATGTGCACAGGGAAAATAATGGCACATACGTTGTTTTTAAACCGGGCCAGAATTTACAGTTCTAAATTGCAAAATGCAGTCCAAATAGCAGTAAGTGCATGCTGGGATGAACCTCGAGACACATAAAAGCATGTGCTAGCCATGGCTCATACGGAAATGCGCTTATTGCTCCCTTCGCTATTACGGCTCCATGGTAATTTGCTTTTGAAATAGATGTGACACTAATGCCGAGCAAAAATCACCATTTCCCCGACGAAGGACCGAAACTATATTCCAAAGTTGCAAAATTGACTTTAACAATCAAATTTGTTTACAAGAGTGTACCTTTGCACGTTTTGATCAAATTTTGTCTGATTTTTGCATATCAAGATTAAATCAGTGAAATTTTTAATTAGAAAATCCCAATATTCTCCTGGAAAAAGTTTAACTTTGAAGGCGAAATTAGGCAACATTGAAATGTAGTTATGTTCCTTTGTGAGATAAAGGACAAAATTTTACTAAAATCTCGCTTAAAAACACAGGGATAAAGCAACTTTGGTTACAAAAACCAAATTTTGATTCATGCGGGACACCGTATAGTTTTTGGCCTAGGTGACAAGTGTTTTTGTCATATAAACCGAACCTCGGTTCAGATATTGAGACCTCAGGTAAGAAATACGAATTTTGTTAAGGCCGACAAAAAATTTAGTTCGAAGTTTGGTTCCCGTGATCGATAACTTATTCGTTGACCTACAAGCCAAAAGCTTTGCTGTTCCGCACAGCTTTACTATCACAATCGGAAATGCCCAAGTTGGGTCTTAACCCGTACCTCATTTTTTCCGTAAATACTTTAAAGTATTTTTAAATTCCTAAATAAAAAGATACATACAAATTGTGTGAAAATACCGTAATGGCGATGAGTACTTTTTACGTAAAACTATGTAAATCAGAACATATTTTTTATGGATAGTTAGCCACGGTGTGAAGTTTTCGCAAGTTTTACAGATTTCCACCGAAAAAATTCTCTAGATGTAAAATTTTCATTTCTTGCCACGAGGGTACCAAGGAAGGGAACTCCATCCCATTTTTATCAGGTATCTAACCAGTGCCAAGATCTAAAGTTAGATGTCAGGATTACTATGTAAATAAGATCTCTCACAATGGAGATTTACTGACATAGTTCCTCCAATGATCATGGGAATATCTATGATAATTGGCTGCCTAGTACCTCCTTGACATGACCTCAAGAAGTTATTCTTTTTCTCTACTTCTATGTGATAGGTCGTAATTTATCAAAAACTCGATGGGGTCTTCCTCACCGACAGTTTTTCACGGGAATAAAGAATCCACTCTCAGTACAGTGCGGTTGGCTTAAGAAAGAGCGTCGTATACGCGCTCAAACTATGTCAAACCTTGCCCGATGAAATTCATTTTTTTTTTTTTTAGCAAAGTTATGTATAGTTTCCCTTCAAATTTTCAAGTACTTTAAAGTAAATTGCGAAGAAAATTACTTGAAAAATTTGAAGAAAAACCCTCTCAGACTTCTCAAAAAACTTACGTTTTAAGGAATGAACTTAGGCAACGTTTGAAGGCTTATACGTGGTTTTTCCTCAGCACCACAGGGTAATAATTGTTGGGAACGAGTAAAGGGTATCATTGACACCGCTGCGGCTTTTTACTCGACTGCATCCTCAAAGAAATTCCAAGAGCAAGGAAGGATCACGCGTGCCACAACGCCTGTGACAAAAGGACGTATCTCGATTTTCCCATGAGCCCCAGATAGCCTGGATCTAAGTGTAAATCAGGGCTTACGTAAACATTAAGATACGCTCTTACATCAGAGAAGGAACGACAATGAATGTAAATTAAGCACCTTCGGATTTCTAAATTTGAAGGAATATCGCCGCGTATCATAATCCATCACTTCATCGGAAAAAAGACGTTATCCCATCGTGACTCGAGCCTGCCACAGGATAGAAATAAATACGCATCAGGGTTATTTTCAAAATGCAGTTACGTCCTTTTGCCGCGAACGCACGGGTCCTGCTCCACGATTTACGAGCTTCTCACCCAGGAGGGTGTTCCTCGTCGATCCCCTCGGAATGAATAAATCAACATCGGAAACTGAAGTATCTCATGCGTGCACTCGCGCAACAATAGCGAGATTTTACCACGTTCGAGTGTGGTTGTAATTGTTTTTCGAACGACTGATTTCCTCGGGTCCTCTCTCGACTTTTTAATAAACTAGCGTCGGTTGTTGTTTTTTGATGCGTTTTCGCTCCCTCTCTCGAATGGGCGCTTTATCCACCCAATTATTTGGTGGAACGCTGCAGCTCTCCTAGATCTACCGTGATAGCGGAAAGAACAGTTAGTGTCAAATTTTCGAAATTGAGTTTCCTTCAAAATGTGTCTGATCTCTTTCAGATGAAATCACTGAAATAGCTAAAACAGCAAATTTCATCTCAACTTTATCAAAGCGAGACATGTGTGAAAGCTGTAAAGCGCCAAAAATTATGTACTTTTATGCAAGACAGCGGTAAGTTCCTCTAGAGAATCAATGAAACTATTTTCAGTGCTTTAGTGCTGCCCTCTTCTGCCAATTTTTGACCTGAAAATGTGTTTGTTGTGACTTTGTGAGTCCAAAACGCAACCGTTGATTGTAAGACAGCGAGACATAAAAGAAAGCAGAAATTGCGCAAAAAATGACGTAGTTTCAGGCAACAGCATCAGTAAGTTACAATATTATTCCAGAGAGCTAATGGAAACAGTGAAATGCTACCCTCTTCTGCCAATTTCTGACTCGAAAATGTCTTTGTTGTGTGTCCAAAACGCACTCACGAAAGCATGCAGAAGGCAGCACTTACTGCTGTCTTGCCTAACACTAGCATAACATGAATATTAAAAATACCCTTTTTATGTAATTGAAATAAAATCGGTCGATTTTTAATCATCCAAGCGATGTCTAAGAGTGTTTTGGATGATTAGCAGCAATTTGACAAAAAACGGATGCTTCTTTCAATAAAATTTTTCGATTAGACACTTATGAGCCCGTTTTCTCAAAACTTTATTTTTGCCCTCACTGCTCTCTGCGCTATCACGGCATTAGGCGCATCATCTTCTTTACTTGCAATGAGCGGTATTATGTTTAATAGCAGTTTTTACACAATCTGTAGGCCGATTATTGAGATTACCCCGTGATGCAACTATTCGCGCTCGACGACCGCCCAAATTGCATACACAAAAAGCTGAAGGCGCACGTGCGCATGCACTAGCGACCCTATTGTTCACAGTCACTCTAGTTGCAATTTTTTAAGAGGTTTTCAACTAACAACTCATCTGAAATTTCCTTTGAATTTTCTTCACTCGTTCAAAAACACCCACAAAAATTGGGAGGGGTCTTTAGTTTTCTTTTAAAAAATAAAACATGATGGTGGAATTTTGGGCATTGCAATAGAGTTGCACATTTATCGACTTTAATTTCCGATATTTTCAAACAAACGGAGCCCAGTATTCCAACTCGCGGGCTTATCTCCCTTGCACGTTGCACCACGGATCTCTCGTTTGGCGGAGAGGCAAAAAAAAAAGGGATCAGTTGGCGGTCCGCGGCCCGCGCGATGAGCGACGAAGAATGCCGCAGATCATAATACAGGATAGCATAACTGAAAAGCCCAGGATTATAAATAGACCCGTAAAATAGAGAGAGCGTTATTAATTTCACTTCATTTTCAGTCGGTACCGGAGCCAAAATGGAGGGCTCCTCGCGACCAAATTTGAATTCCGTCTCCATGTTCAAACAGCAGCTGTTACTCCAGCTCCCACTGAGCTTGTTCTTAATTTTCGCGACGCTCTTGCCAAGTTCTTAGTAAAAATAACGATTTTCCCACTTAACTAAATTTCTATGAATTTATTGGAAAGCTTGATTATCCTGCAGAATATTGCGAGTGAAAATTCGACTTAAATTATCATCCTATCACTAAATGATTATTAAGTATAATTTTATGGTATTTTTTGTAGATATTAGTACCTTTCGAGCTATACTGAACATTTTACAACCTCAGTTCTCTCTCTAAAACCCCCCTACTGGAGGTGATTTATGCAAAGCGTGTCTTCAGCCCTTGACGTGATCTTAACTGCCTCCCTCTTGTAAACGAACACATTTCTAATTAAAAATTAACTCAGGTATAAGTTAAAGTTTACCTACAATCGTCAAAGGTACCATAAAAATAACAATGTATTGTGCTTTCTTGTCCGCGAGGTAGACAAATTTATATGATTTTTCCACTTCAAGTTTTGACTCTTCCATCCTCTCTCTTCCATCAATAGTAATTCACAAATTCTGTTATACTTGGTTTTATTATCAGAGAAACGTAGTTTACCTGGTTATTCGTATAAAGCATTCAATGTAAATAAAATCCAGTTTTCGTTCTCAAAACTATGCTCAGCAGTTATGTACCGTAATATTTGACTATATGTTCCTAAAAAATGTTGATATCTTCAACTTCTCGGGGAGCGTGTAACATGAATATCCACCCATAAAGCTGAGATATGCTGAATTTAGTCGAAGATTTAAGATAAACAATTGTGTTTCTTACTTCCAAATCATGGCATATTTGAAATTATGGCACTACTGAAAACTCAAAGTTTAAGTGCCAGATAGGAAATCACTTTGAAATGATGCATTAGTGGATGCCTTAAAACTAGGCTCCATAATTTATTTTACATTTTGATCCTTGAAGATTTATTTTTCTCAGATATTTTAAAACGAAGGGATTATTTTTCTCATTTTCAAACGAAGAGTTTGTAGCACTTTGAAGATTACTGATTTGCGGGAATTGCATCATGGATGTCACAATGTATCTGGCCACTTCTAAAATAGTCCGCATTACCACCGCGGTAGGGGAAACATTCACATTTTGCACGTCTTGGCATGCGGTGGCAATAAAAGTTCAAGATTATCAGTAACTTTTTTTACATCCATTACGCAAAAAATTAATGATTGTATTTACTGCGTAAATGAAAAATACTTGATAAATATATCAATTCATATTATACATGTATTGTGATTCAATTAATAATAAGCAATGCCTTATCCTAGATCTAAAACATAATATTTTAATGATTATTCGGTTATTCTAAGAAACTTTAGAAACTTAGTGATCTTTGGCTAAATACATGGTGATTTTTTTTAAAAAAAAATATATACCTTTGGATATAAACGGTAAGACCAACCATGAGCTTTCATTCCGTAGGGCTGTTTGGTACTATGTACTGAGAGGATTCACATTCACCATAAGAACAACATCAGATCTAGGATATCCCCGATTTTTCGTTGCCCCTCTGTCACGCCGCAGGCAAACTACTTATTTTAATACTTAGTCTTAGGCCTAGTCCTACATCCATATATTATATGTCAGTACTGCCGTGATAGCGAAAAGAGCAGTAAGTGCATGCTGGGATGAACCCCGAGACACATAAAATCATATGCTGATCATGGCTCATACAGATATGTACTTACTGCTCTCTTCGCTATCACGGCAGAGTACGTCTAATTCCTATACAGGGAGACGACTTAAATAAATTAATTTTAAAAAAAGAGCAAAGAAGGGAAGCTGTTGATGACGGGTTGGAAAAATTTTACTAACTTCAATAAAAGAGTTATAAAATTGACAGAAAGTGTGTTTCCTTCATTTAATATAATTTAATTTACGGAAAATTTTAAGACTATTTCTCGTGTCATAGACTCTTCTCTCTGAGCGCAAGCTCCGTTCTACAGGGTAAGTGGGCTGCACCTCAAACGTTGCAAACTACCTTGGAAGCACCTACACCAGGTGTCAACGCGGCATGCAACAGGCCGAACGGGAGCTGTCAACGAGAAAAATAGGCGGCGAACGTTGCATCACTTAATTAACAAGTCCCACGACCCGGTCGATACGGATCCGTTCCGGGGAACCCGCGACACAAAAGCAGGAGCATCCGCAAACGCGAGGCGAAAACCGCGCGGGTAGTAAACAAACACCAGAAACCGCGCACCACTCACCAGCAGCACCGGCGAACCGTCCGTCACGTGACGCGATCGAGAACTAAAACAAATCAAGGGAAAAAAGCGAGCCGCGACCGGGGAGCGAGCGAGAGAGAGAGAGAGCCGCGGAGTAAAAAAGCGAGAGAAGAAAAATGACAAAAGCCGCAACATATGTTCGGCCGTGTATTTTTGTGGGTGCCCTGGAGGACAAGTGAAGAAGTCTCGGCGACTCCGCGAGAGGGGGGCGGGTCCGCGGCCCGAGGGGGGCTAAGGGGGCGGTTTCTATAAATGAATTGGCCGGTTCCCTCCCCGTCCCTCGCCCGGCCACCCCTCCCTGATCCCGCTCATTAACTCTCTCATGACATAACTCATTAACCGAAATATTCTTGCCGCCCCTCGCCCCTCACCCCGCGACCCTTCGCGGCGAAAGCTCCCCCTCCGCGGCTTTTTATCTGGAAATTTTTATGGGGGGGGGGAAGAGAGGAAACCGCAAAATTGCCGGTTTGAATGGTTTCAAAGATTTCAAGGGCATGTGTGCCGCCCCGCGCTGGAGAGTTGTCCAAAAGCGGATTTGTTGTTGCCGTTTTGGGGTGGAATAACGAGGAGGCAGAGATAAGGGTGTCAGTACTACCCCGATACGCGAAGAGAGCAGTAAGTGCAAAGATGATGTTTTGAGAAAACGGACTCAGAAACGTCTGACCGGATTTTACTGAAAGAAGCCTCTGTTTCTTGTTAAATTGCCACTAATCACGCGGAAGACTCCTAGAAATCGTTTGGAAGATAAAACAATAGTGTATTTCCCTCGGAAAATGCACTAAAAATTCAATTTACCTAAAAATATGGTATGTTTCATTTTGATGTTAGGCTAGTGTTAGACAGCCGTTAGTGTAAGTGCTATCTTCTGAATGATTTCGTGGCTGCGTTTTGGACACACAACTAGCACATTTTCGAGTTAGAAATTGGCAGAAGAGAGCGGTACGTTACTTGGATTGGAACCACTGTTTTCATTGGCTGTCCGGAGGAGTAATGTCACTTCCGGCTGTTTTTTGTCGTTTTTTGCGCACTTAAGGCTTTCTCATATGTCTCGTTTTTTTTAAAAAAAAATCACTAAGATGAATTTCGCTGTTTTAGATATTTATGTGATTCATCTGAAAGAAATTGGACGAATTTTGAAGGAAACTCGATTTCGAACATTAGACACTTACGGCTCTCTTCACTATTAGTGGAGCAGAGTGGAGACGGTATGTTTGGAGACCCTGCGCCAACACTCTAAGGAATATATTTTGAGCGAGGGAAGAGATATGTTCGGAGGTCAACATTACCTCTCCCTTAATGATTGCCGATGAACACCTTGCTGAACGAAAACTGAAATAAAATTTGCCTAATGATGATGGACGAAAGTCGGAGTGAGTATGTTAGTTACACCCCCTTGGAGATACTGCCCAGTCCGGAGACTAGGCTACTTTTTTTTCTAGTCCGCGAACTGGCCGATGTTCTTGCCCACCGTGAACTGGTCGGTCAAAAGTCTGAAAATCGCGCCAAAGTGCTAATCGCTAATTTTAAATGTAATCAATCTGCTAATCGACGATTGTCCCCTACTTACTGATTTCTAACGAATTATTCCCGAGATTTTGAACGAAACTGAGAAGTATCGAAATGATTTGCAGTTTGTAAGAAGATTTTACAAATTATTTTATTTTTCCTCTCTCAAGAGGTTTTATTAAAAGTTTAGCTTATATTTTCAGCGACTTAGATGTGCGAGTTGTATATTCAAAAATTGGAGGTGTTTCCGCTCTACAAAGACCAGACTGAGTTGGTTGCGGCGCCTTGATGCAATTATTCGTGTTCCGCGGGTGTGCGTGTTGCGTGTTCAAAATTGAAGGCACTTTAACTTTTCTCACTTCTCCAGAGATGTAGAATGAGGAGAGTATTACCAGTTGGTGACACGAGTCCAGAGTATCTAAGGCCAATAACTGAGTCTCTCTTAAAAAGTCTTAAGCGCCAGAGATGAAAGCGCGAGAATAACATTTGAAAAGGTGATGATCGATCCGTTTTAAATCGTAGATTTTATGATAATGTGATTCAATAATTCATCGCTTTATTATTTCATAGCTTTGAAATTTAGAGCGGGTCAAGTAAAACGTTTATTACTGTTTTTCTCGTTTTATCATATCTACCGCTTCAGTCTTTTTTAGAGTGATCAATGAAATGGTGCTTGTCTCGACCCACAAAGCATCTCGACCGGAGTTGGCTGTGGCGCCTTGATGCAACTATTCGTGTTTCGCGGATGTGCGTGTTGTATGCTCAAAATTGAAGGCACTTTCAGCGGTAGCAGAAACGCTGTGCGAGATTTTCCCTCGATAAAATACCAATTTTCTGGGGAACTTTTGTTCATTTTTCACCCAATTTAGACAAGTTCATTTACAATTTGGTTAACACCAGCTTAAAATTTCAAGAAAAAGTATTCGTGAATTTCCTCCATAAAAATGTTTTATAGGAAGAAATTTGGCAACAGCCGGACGTTCATACTGCATTTCGCCCCAGCACGATAGCATTGGTAAATCTTTGAAACGATCGTTCGCCGTCCCCAGAAAAGTATCGAAAGCAACGAAGAGGGGGAAAAACAAGCAAAACAAGAAAAACTTCCATTGAGAAGTTACACTCCTCAGCATTTTTCCATCAATAACTGAATCTTCGGATTTTTTTCTTAATGGAACTGATTTTAAGGGAAATTTTAGAACAAAATTATGGAACCTAGACTTAGAAAGACATAAGTCTCATCTTCTCCCATTTCTTAAACTCATAAGAACAAACATAGAATGTGCTCGATATGAATTTAACAAGAGGGTCTCTCATTAATTTCAAACTATAACCACGCCAAATATTTTAGTTTTTGTTGTTATTCGCACCCTTCACCCCGAGCATACCCTTTGATGATCAGCTAGGAAATAAATTACCAATCATCAAGGAACGTAGGTGCTCATTATGCGTTTATTCATTATGCATGGATATAAAAAGAAGGAAGTTCTCCATTGCGCTTCCTGCACCACTATTGAGCAGTTGTTACAGCGAGGATTTTTCACGGTCCGAAAACAATTCATCTTCGTCAGTTTTTGAGAGGGGTAGCGCCATACACTTCAACGGAGCAGCTCAGCCTCTTGGGCTGTTGTCACGTTGAGTGTGGTAAACATATCATACTTATCCCAAAAAAAGGGAAACTATTTCATTTTTAAGACGGTTCGGCAACATTTCGGCAATTTTATGACTTCATTCCTCCAGGCCTCGGCGTCTGTCCTGACGAAGCTCCCACACACGCTGCAACATCTGTAACTATGTTGTAACCCCTCCACCGACCCCCCCCCTCCCCCATTCTTGCTTATTTTGAATAAAGGGCTGAGGACTTAGCCTTAAACGTGAAAATGAACCGATAGAAGATAAATTGGTATTGTCTGTTATCTGCACTGAGAAAACCCCCTGTAAAATTACCAACACCGAAAAAAAGTGAAGTTGATTTAACATTCTGGATGTAAAAAAAGTGTGCGAGAACTTGTAAAATGATAACTAACTGTTGTGGCGGGTAATTCAGCACTCTTTAAGTTCTCACACACTTTTTTTACATCCAAAATGTTAAATTAACTTCACTTTTTTTCGGTGAATATTTCGAGGATCATGGAATCCCGAGGATTGCCGGTCATTTTACAGTCGTCTGGTGGTAAGTTCACTCACGGAAATTTTACCAACTTTTTTCCGCAGTATCTAGTATTCTCGAAAAAATAGGACTGTAATATGACTGGAAAAACGAATATCTTTATTAAGCTATGAATTATTTATTATCATACGAGCGTAAACCTCCATTGAAGAGTGAAGTTTTCTTACATTCGCCATTCAACATGTTCTTCGTCAATTTCAAGTGACTTGATTCAGAGTTAACATGCTCTGAATTTAGTGGAATATCGCAAACTTTTGATCTGTGCAAACCTCTCACGGATGACATAGCATTTCAAAGAGAGGCCCAACTCGTATTCATAGCAATATTTTGTCAGAAATTCAGAAAAAATTTGGAATTACAATCTGGAAGAGTTCAATATTTTTTGACACTTATGTCTGATTCCTTCGTTTTCTGGACGAAAAAATTCAAATGTTGCAAAATGTCCATTCGTAATTGTAATGTTGCAGAAAATTTCTCAAAAGATTCCAGCATGAAATTTCGCTGATTTTCTCCTCTGACTTTTTGACAGGAATCCTACAACCATATCCCTGAAAATTCTCGAATTCACCAACTTAGTTTTTACACATTACAAAAGCATGGAGTCATGACGAAGAAAACTTTCTCAGTCGTCATGACACGGCGCCGGAAAACGACCCCCCCCCCTTCCCTCCCCTCGGACCAAGGAGGGGTGAACCAACCCGATGCCCAAATAATGACACGGCTACATTAAGCATAACCACTTATGACTCATCGCGCTTTCCTTCCTCGCCTCGCGTTTTCCGTCTCGTGTCTCGTGGCCGAAGTTGCCAAATTGTGCTATAAATATGGATATTTCACATGGTATTCTGTCATGCTAAGGAAATACGCCGTATGAGCCTCCAGCTGTTGCCAAATTTCCTTTGATAAAATACCAATTTCCAGGTAAAGTGATGAATATTTTTCTTCCAGTTTTTCGGATAATTTCGTTTGCAATTTCACCTAAAGTTCCTGAAAATTTCAAGGAATAATATTCAGAAATTCCCTCCAAAATAAGCATTCAATCGAAGAAACTTTGGCAATTCCTGAATGTTCATACGGCGTTCTTCCTCAGCACGGTAGTATTGCCAATTTCTCGTGTCCATCTGGCAACGATGCTCGCGGTGTGCACGCCCGAGTGACTCAGTGGAAATCCAACCCGGTCAACGGACGGGACAGGACAGACACGGTGAGTTATGACTGATGACTGCCGTGAGGGGGTGTAAAAAAAGAGGGGGCGGGAAAAAGCCCCTCGGGGCGCGGAAGGGAAGGGCGTTGCGTGCAAGGAGGTGCGTTTCTTTGCACGTGAAGGCCGCGGCCGCCGTCCCGAGCGACGTCATTGTCAGCGGAGGAGGAGGAAGAGGCAAGGTGTGCGACGGTCGTGAGCCGCGGGCAGTGGGCAACTTACACCCCCCGGGGGGCGGGAGGGGGTGCATGCAGACGCGGCGCCACGCATGGGGTG